AGTCTTCCCACACCACATTCCTCAGTAATGGCAGAAAGCAGAGTAACACGATTGTGAAGGGAAAAAACCATGGAAATACGAGACTAGCTTGAGCAAAATCAAGGGATACATTTCTTTCAGCAAGAGGAGTATCTTTCCAGAGATTAGATTTCCACAGCTGTTTTAAAGATTAAAGAAATGCAGCTTGTATGTGGCCCTCTCCCCTGTCTTATCACTCTTACACCTCACTTTCTCTTCATCTAAGATGGAACTGTCTCCAAGATACAGATTTTCATAAAAACCCTATGGGGAAGACCATCACACTTGAGACTGAACCCTTGGACACTATAGAAAATGTAAAGGCCAAGAGCCAGGATAACAAAGGAATTCTTGCTGATCAGCAAAGGCTGATCTTTGGTGGTAAACAACTGAAAGATGGACAAATTGATCACAACAAAACTCAAAAGGAGTCTACTCTTCATCTTGTGCTGAGATTCTGCGGTGGGACCAAGAAAAGGAAGAAGTGTTACACCACTACCAAGAAGAATAAGCAAAAGAGAAACAAGGTTAAGGTGACTGCTCTAAAATACTGTAAGCTGGATGAAAATGGCAACATTAGTCACCTTCATTGAGAGTGCCTTTCTGATGAATGTTGTGCTGGAGTTTTTATGGTGAGCCACTTTGAAAGACATTATTGTGGCAAGTGCCCTTTGACTTACTGCTTCAACAAACCAGAAGACAAGTAACTATGAGTCAATACAAGACTTCAGCTAAGAAAAAAAAGATTAAACAAGTGTTTCATCATGTTTGTGTTGTGGATGCTTTTATCAGGATAGAAGAGAAATAAAGTCTGTCCATGGGAAAACAGTACCTACAAGGACACTGAAAAATCTCAGGGATTGCACCTTACTGGGAGACAGTATGCTAGGGGTGAGTTTTGTCTTCATCAGGAAATGTCTATTAGTTAGCGTAACAGTCTCTGAGGCTATGGCCACACTATGCTAACACCTTAGGTTGGTATGGGATTTCAGACAGTCCGACATATATTTAAAAAAATTTTTATTAGCTCATATACCAAGTCATATCCCATTCTCTTTCATTATTGAGACAGTAATTAAGAGAAGAGCATGAACATTTGCTCAGTGTTACGTAGATTAAAGTTTTTGATGAGAGACAGAGGCTTCAACACTGAGGTAATGAAGTAGTTTAGGGATTAAAACTCTGACAAACTGGAGTGTATTATTCAAATCTACTAGAAACCCAATCTACACTCAGTGAAATAGTACTGGACAGAAGTACCATCCAGTCCTGAATTTTCCCTAGAGGCTTTGTTCTTCTTGGCTTAGGTGGAGCCACTGTATAGAGAAATGAGTGGTTTTGTAAGACTTGTATCTCCTATTCATTTAGCTGTGCTTTGGATCTCTCAAGAATACTTCCTATGATTTAACTATCTCAAATGTACTTTGACAGCTTCACAAGATCCCCTTCTTTGTCTTTGATATTTCTAGCAGGAAAAGGTACCGAGCCAGTGAATGGGTTCAAGGGTAGAGGTCCCAGCAGGAGACCAGCGTTGGGTCTCCTGATAAAACACAGAAGCAATGGACAGAAGCCTCCTTTGATACTCTAAAGGCAGCAGCTCCAGTACTCTGGAGATGCAGGCTTCATCCATCCATCTACTGTTGGCACTTTTGTTATTTCCTCCCAAGGGATGCTTGCTTTTCTCTGTGCACTACATGGGAAGTTGGAGAAGCTGGAAAAGCAATTTTCTTTTCCTCTCCTTCTTAACCATTTCCCCTAATCCTGAGACACAAGGTCCCTGCTTTGTCCTTGGCGTGAGCAGGGTGGGTGGGGGAAGTGAAGGGGGCTGGGCGACACTGAGACAGCTCCCCCCCCCCAGCACACTAAGGGAAAGTTCATTTTAACAAGAAGCTAATTACCGAAGGAGAAATTGCATTTTGCATTTAAAATGAACTCTATTTTCCTTTGATTAAAAAAAAATTAAGTTTACAGATTGCATCAACTCAACTTTCACCTTCATGTCAGCCAGGACTTCCTCTAATAAAATGAGTTTATCTGTTGAAAATGGTAACATGGAAATGAGATATTTCAATTTGGTTCATTAGCTCAGCTTTTTCTTCTAGTCTTAACTAGCTAACTTTATAGTAATTCTTTACCTTCTGCCAAAAATAATCTTAATAAAGCTATCTTTCATTACCATGTTAACATGGCATGAACACTATTTTACAAACAGCTTACGAAATAAAGGAACCAATTTTGAAGATTTTAGTTCTTTTCTCTATCTTACCAAAGTCTTATTAAATGTGTCTTAGTCTCTTTTAGGTAACGGACAACTTGAATTATGACTCATTCTTCCTCCATATTTTTTGTGTATCAGACTCTCCAATGGGTATTATTGTGACAGATTCTCCTTTATGTTTAGTCACTTGACTTGCAGGAAGACAGAAAAAATGACTAAGCAAAACAGTCTTGGTCATCAAGTAGGTTATTTCTATACAGGTTATCCCTAAGCCCCTTAAAGGCACAAAGCCCAATTTTCATAATCATTATAATACATTATGAGACAAGAGACTGAGGCAGCAAAATACAATCTGAGATTTTCTAAATATTAGCAGTAAGTTTAAACTTTGACCATATATTACATAAATATACTCAGTAAATATTTTGAAGAGAACACTTAAAATCAAAGTTTTTCTTTTCTTTTTTTGAAACAAGATGTAATTCAGGCTGTCCCTTAACTCATTATGCAGCCCATGCTGGCCTCAAATTCAGGTTGACCCTCTTGCCTCAGTTTCCCAAGTGCTGAGATTACAGATATGCACAACATACCTGGCCAAAAAGCAGACTTTTTAATCTAATGTTTGAATAGAAAAACATATCCTGCACATTCTTAAAACACAGTAAAATGTCTAGCTATAGCAATGAAGACAGTTTGGTTTACTTTAAAGGGCAAAACAAATGAGACTGCATTGTGACACACATGCAAGGGAATGATCATTGTCACACACTGCTAATGCTGCCACCTTTCTGAGCACAATGTATGTAAGAAACCTTGGGTTCTGCAAATACTCTTTGATCCAATCTTATGAGTTAAACACTATTATTCCCACTTTAAAGAATGAAGATGCTGGCGTGAAACAAAACTAAACAAAACAACCCTTTTCACAGTCATATAATAAACTAAGGGTAGAATCTGGATTTAAATCCATGGTTATCGCTATCTAACCCAAAATTTACACTTAACCTGTATACTGTATACGGAATCCATCTGGATTAGGTTGTACTTATCTGTAAACTCAGCTACTCAGAGGGCTGGGACAGGAAGACTGTAGTTTCCAAAGCAGCCTGAGTCACATAGCAAGAACTTGTCTCAAAAAACAAAACAGAACAACACTTTAATCCAGTAAGGTTTATTCTTACAGGTATTTCTCTAATAGACTAACATGCAGCATTTTAGCATATTGAAGACTAGATCATGCTAAAATTTTTTTTTCAAACTTACGAACAACAAAATTAATTTTTATAACAGTATTATCTAAAAGATATGAAATAGTCAGGTATATACCTCAGCAGAACAAGCACCTGCCTGGCAAAGCACAAGGTTGTGAGTTCAATCCCCAATATCAAAAATAAATAAAATAAAATAAAAATATATGAAATAGACATGTAAGACATAGAAAGGTTTTACCTTTGTATTATAAACTATCTCCTTAAATATCATTCAATTTGTTCTCAAACAATAAACCATCAATTTTAAGACAAACACCTGCTTTTTATGAAAATGAAAGATGCAATGTCAATTTAAAAATTACTATAATTCTCTAGTGGTACTTGATTTTTTTCTTGAAGTGTAAACACTGTAATTCATTGTTGTTTATGCTGGCATTGTGTAGCAGAAGGAAAGAGTTACAGAGAAACTGCAGATCCAAACAACACCAGGAGCTACCACTACTAGAGTTTTCTCTGTAGGATGAGTATCATTACTTTGTGTCCTAAACCTCTGACTCTGCAGTTAGTAAAAAGAATACTAAGAATATGTATTTGTTGATAAAAGATAAGGATGGGGAAAAACAGACTGCTAGCTTTCCCATGTTGATCTTTAGGAAAACTACTCAACATGTTTGTTCAGTCTGCAGCTTCTTTCCATGGGTCTTTCAAGGTGTTATTTTAACACTGATGGAACTCAGTGAATGATGTGAATGAGTGAGGAAGAGCTGGTACTTGCAGATATTAACCTCCTGCTCTATCCCAGCAGAGAAGATTGTTAGATTTGTTGAAAATCTCTGAGGAAGGAAGTAACATTAGTGAGAATTTCCTTGATAAAATGTTTCAGTTTTTAAAAATCCTGTTCAATTATGCTCCCCTCAAATAAATATATGAGATATGTCAGTCTTTCTTATTAAAGATTGGTTTGGTTCTAGTTGACTCAGTGACTGAGAGTTGTTTTACTACCTATGTTAATCGGCTTCATGTTACTATAATGAAACACTGTAGGCAAGCTACTTTATTAAAAAAAATACAGAGGAGCCAGGAGTGATGGTACAGGCCTTCAATAGTAGTGTTCAGGAGGCTGAGGCAACAGGAAGATCACAAGTTCGAAACCAGCATGAACTACAAAATGAGACCCTGTCTCAAAAAACAAAACAACAAAAAGAGGTTTATTTAGGATCATGATTCTGAAAGTGCAAAGTCTGGAGACCTTGTCAGGTGACAGCCTTCTGGCAGGCAGAATCCTATGGTCTCACAAAGCACCACACAGTGACACAGGCACTATGCATGCTATCTTTTGTTCCAAATGCTGCTACCAGGATTAAATCCACCCTAATGACTATATAATCCTAACCACACCCAAGAGCCCCACCTAAACACCCACAGTTGGGAGTAAGTTTCCACCCTGGTAATGTTTTATAGTGGGAGCTGAGTGTAACACAGGAAGCCTGAGGGGACATTCAAACTATATCCAAACTATGGCACCATCATATATCCTTACACAAATCAAAACAGTAAGTATATAAATTTTATTTGAATTTTCATTACATCTCCAACTGTACTGTATAATCAAAATTTTGAAAACAAAAAATCCTGAGGAAGATTAAAATCACCTACAATTCCATCAGTCAGGAAAAAAATTCAGTAAAAATTGGTAATTAGTTAGAATGGGTACAATAACCAGTGAAGAACATTTAAGTAGAAATAAACTTTACAAAAAGCAAAGCTTTTGAATTTGTTTTGAAATAAGGAAAGTAAAGATTACCTATCAACAGGTCTCCCAGATCCCTTTCCTCCGTGGAAATTCTACAGAGTAGAGTCAGTGATGAGAAACTGTGGGAGCTGCTTCTCCTGACTGAGCCATATGCTTTCGCATTCCTGTGGTGGTTACTCTACAGAAAGCGATCAGTTTTAGCAACCCAGGCTAAAACTTTATTATACAATAAAGGGTCCCGATCAATAAAGTGTGCTAAATACTTCATGAATGAATGAAGGGTTTGGCACACTGTCATCAAAATTCATTACTTGTTATTATAACTAAACTTCAGCTTTCATTTCTTTGACTCCCAAGAAAGCATTTTCCTGTGGAATTTAGATTTGGTAAACATTTTCATCCATCAATTTCTAATGCAGAAGTCCATACATACACAGTAAAATAAATCTATGGTGGCTACAAAACAATGCACTTAGATGTCACCTGGATAAAGCGAAAAAGTGAGCCAAAGGACTTGAGGAAATTATGTCACTGATAAAATCTATTTGCTGTACAAAGATCATTATTTTTTTAACTAAAGTCTCACATGACTCAGCCTTTGCTCTGTGGACAAATACTTCTCAGTAATGCTTTATTGTATACTCTTGAGTTTATTATATTAGCATATTAATAATTATTTAAACAACATGGTAAAAAAGAAAGCAACATATAATTATTAATATATAACATATAGTCAGGAAGAAAAACAATATATAATTATTAATATATAATATATAATCAGGAAGAAAATAATATATAACTATTAACATATAGTTAATATATAATATAGTCAGGAAGAAAGAAAACAATTCACTTTTGTTTTACAGTGTTTCCAAAACTTCTTTGACCATGAATTCTTTGATGATGTAACGCCTACTAATAATTAAAGGAAGTCAGCACCTGAGAAATACATTTTATGAATGCCACTCTAATGAATGCATCACCATCTATGATTTTCAGTTATATTAGTAACCCAGGGATAACCAGCTTAACAAGATTCACTCCTTTACCTAAACTTACACAGACTAAAGTTCACTGATTTATAGTGACAAATATGTACATTCTTGTCTTGGTTACTTTTCTCTCACTGCTGGGGCGAAATACTTGATGCTCAAAATGAAGGAAGGAAAGGTTTATTTAGCTTAGAGCCTTTGAAGTTTCAGTTCATACTCAGCTGGCTCTAAGCAGGGTGGCACGGCTGAGGGGCAACTGTTCAAGATGACTGTAAGCAACAAGAGTGAAAGGGACAAAAAGGGAAAGCAGCCTCCTTCCTTCTCCTATATTGTGTGCCAGCTCCACCCATGGGCGGGTACAGCACCTGCAGTACCAATCCCAGCGCTAGACAATGATCCAATCACAAAGGCTAGACTCAGCGACCTCTATGACTGCATGAGGCTTGGGGAACACCCAGACACAAACCATAACAGTTATACAATCAGAACACATAAATAAGGTTTATAGTGTATAAATGATATCTCCATTAAAAAGCTCATTTTTGGTGTTTTATTTTTTTAAAATAAATATGTTTATGTTTTACATATACTGAGAAATAGTTACTTGGTGAACACATTATCAGAACAAAAGGAGAGTGGATTTAATCCACTTAGCAGTCTAATTATTTAAATGCAGGATGATCAAAAACAGCATTTGTTTTATTAATTTTTGTAAGACAACAGAGAACATAAAAATGACAATTTTGGATTTAGCTCAGCAGTATAAGTGCCTGCCTAGCAACCACAGGATCGTGAGCTTGATCCCCAGTACCAAAAAAAAAAAAGACAATTTTATCAAATTTATTCTATACAAGAATCAACTGGTTGAAAGACACCTGCCCAAATGACGCTGGGATAGTCAGTATGTAAACAAATATGCTGCCCAAGAGTTGCTTGGGGTAAACTGGTAGGTGGTTAAAGGATGTTTGATGTTGGCCAAAGTGACTCATTCTTGTTTCACAGGACAGGGTGGCTGTCATTACGACGTCTCCTAGACTCTACGCCCCACTCCCCTGGAGTGTACTGCGTATGATGTGATTAAACTACCTGTGGCCTTTCTTTTCAGATGTGTTCACCAATGCACGTCTTAGGTCCTCTTTATAATACAGTCTCCATGGTAGAAATAAAGAGCAGTAGCCAGAGCCTAAAAGAGCACAAGTGCAATATTTCTTTTAAATGCCATTTCTCTTGGTGTATGTATGTGAAAAAAATTTTATGAATATAGAGACTAGAGGTTTTAATTCTAGATCTTCTAAACAGAACATGGTGTATGTTTATTTTATATGCTAAATAATATGTATCAAATATTCCCTTCTAAGAAGACTCGTGCTAAAATTTCTCTTTTATCTTACTTTTTCTACAAAGAAAATTGATTTAAGTAACTAAATCAGATATTCCATGTATCTCTCCTATGTCAAACATGAAAAGTGATATTACTTGGTGCCACAGTTGAATTATACAGCTAAGTGAATCTCAATGGTCATTTTTAAAAGCTCTTGATTCTCTAAGATACTTTTATCAATCACAACACAAATGTAAGTATCACATGAAAGAAGACGACTCTTTTTTTGTACAAAAACTCTTAACTATTAAACCATTTAAAATACTATTCTTTAAAGAGACCAGAAATATTATAGCATCCAGCAATTTTAGATTTTGAAAGGTAAAATTTTAATTTTTTGGTCATCTTTTACAAAGTTTAGCATCAAGAGGATAACATTTATAGAAACTATTTGGTTGGTTTAGACGCCGTTCCTGCTGCTGGTACGTAGAGCATCCACAATGCTTTTATTGTATTCTACAACCTGCTTGGTCACATTTTTAATGATTTGCTGATAATCACTTTCCTGACTCTTTGCTGCTATGACTGATATATGCGTTAAGGTGAAACACTGTCAATAAAAACATTCAAATGTGGCTGGTCTTGTCTAATGAATATAAGGTAGTACAGAAAAAGCACAATTAGAATTATTTTAAAAATTTGGTATGTTATTTTACTATTATTTAAACATAAATTGAGTACTGGTTTATATTTCATTTGAGTCTTTAAAAAATTTCCTAGGAAATAATGTAGACTTTCATTCACTGTAAAGGCATGCAACTGATTGTAATTTAAATAAACAGAATTATTCCAAGTGATTTCTATGAATGCCAAAGCCTTGGCTTCCAGTCTTTGCACAATGTATATGAAAAGAAATGTGACAATCCTAGATAATTAGACATAAACCCAAAGGCTTATATTTGATACATTGTGTTTTAAAAATAGATCTTATTTTTCAGCTTTATTTGCAGTTCTATGTAAAGATTACACATCAGTTTTTACTTGTTTTATTAATAAACCATAATGTGGATATCTTGAGGTGATGGTTCTGTGATGCAGCTAGACAAACCAGTTTTGTAACAGATTCCAACAGATCTGCCATCTTAAAGGATACATTCTTTCATCACGAAATTATTTTGCTCATGGTGTTGCCACTTTCTCTCCAAATTTGTAAGCTAAAAACAAAAAAGCAAAATGTTAACTGTTGCTCCTGTTTGAATTATATAGTTTTTCAAGAGGATAAGGAAAAAATAGCTCAGTGGCACAAGTGCCTACTTGGCAAGCACAAGGTCCTGAGTTCAATCCCTGGTTTTAAAAAAAAAAAAAAAACAAAACACTAAAGAAAATAATAACACTTAAAATCTTAATTTCTTTAATTTTATTGAAATAAAGCTGTAATAGATGTAAAGGTAGGAAAAATTAAACAATAATGAATATGTTAATATAATGTTTAATCCTGTAGCAGGTTTTACTCTATATTGCTTTAATTAGAAAGTATTTAAATGTTTATTATAACAATAAACTTGCCAACTAAATGACAATTTATGATTTTCCTTTTCCTAAGAGAACCTAAAAAAGAAAAATGAGACATGATGTGTATCTCTCCTTGAAATCTGGAAATTTAACGTGACAAAAGTAATATATATTCTAACACTGTCAAAGGTTTAGCTATATAGGAAAAACTTCCTTATTTCCAGGGCTAAATTTCCTGTCTAATTTCACAAGCTGTGATAAGAGCAGAGCTGCAGTGTGAAGATTGTAAGAGGGTTTGTAAAATGCTGGCAGTGTTACAATAATTTCTGCATCAACAGGAAACTAATGTGGATATTATACTGATGGTTGCTTCCTCAGAAGACAATTTTACTGTTATAGAATTAAATTGTTTTTCTGATTTAATTAACCTGTAACTCTGGGTTACGGTCTTTCTTTTTTAAGAGGCACATAGTTTTTCCTAAGCAAAGGACTATCTAAAAAGTGAAACCCTAAGATAGTGTTCTGCCTAGACATTTCAAAAAAGTAATGAACATTTTTGAAAATACGATAACTGAAAAATATTCTTTTCTACTCTCACATTAAAATTATTTTCAGGGCCTAAACTCAGTCTTGATGCAGCAGCCATTCTATTGTTTCCTCCAAAGAGATAAATCTAGACATTAGGGTTAATCATAACTAATTTACTGTGTGAACTCTACAAGCTAATACTATTAAATGCCCTCTCCTTCTCTCACCCAAACAGGACCTTGAAGTTAAGATGATATTAAGGAAGCAGTCAGCATTTTTGGCAATAAATCATTAATAATCTTTTGCAAGTCAAGGACTAGACTTTTTTGTCTTTGTTTTATACAAAGAGGTGGCCTTCTTAAAATGCAACAGACCTCCTAAGTGATATACAAATAATGATATAAAAGTAACACCAGGTCAAATGGTCAAATTTCTTTTATATTATACTTCTACATGAAGTATAATGATCTGCCTTTAAACCTCCAAAGACATCACGAACACAAGCTTAGGTTTGAAAATTTGTTTTCTCTGTAACTTATTTAAATCATTTGTTATATAAAATTATTTATATATGCCAAAACCCAGTTTTTAAAAAAATAAGTTGTAAAAGATTAAGAGATAGGATTTGACCAGGTGAGATCAGAGAAGCATTTAAAATTGTGGCTTATGATACGGTTTCTAGTTATCGATAAATAAAGCTAAGATATGACTAGCACTTAATATGGGAATAAACAAAGGAGCCACAGATTGACTCCTAATAAAAAGCATTTGTCAAGTATCTTCCATCTTAAAACATCTAATTCAGTAGGAGAGGAGAGTAAGTTTTTCATAAAATACACTCTTTGGCCTAAGAACCATTTGAAAGAGTGATCTTATTCACTTTCTCTAAGTGATTCTTTCCAGGAGTCATCCCACTCAAAGCAAAGATAATTTTGCTACTTATAAGAGTACATCAAGATTTGCATATTATGAAGTAGAGACAGAATAACTGACACATGAATTTGAATATAGAAATTAGTGATTTCTAAGCTTGTGGCAGTTGCGGTAAACTCTCGGGAGACCACACTCCTTTCAGGACTATAAGGTAAATCTTTTTTCAGATGGTCCATCCATACAGGGATATAGCTATCATCATTAAAATGTTATTAAAAAAGAAAAAAGGCTGAAAATAGTGAACATTTAAAGGCTATATGTATAGAAAGATTTAATTAATATTTTGTGACAATACAATCAATATGAATGTATGAATATAAGAAAAAATCTGCAAAACGTTAATAATGACTGTCTCTGTTTAGTGGGCAATCAAATGAATGTCTGGGGCCTTACATAACTAGATAAAGAAGAGGAAACTTTTAATGTATTCAGTGTTAATCATATTTGCAAACTGATAATATAGATATAACAATGACTAACCTTTTTCTGACCACAATTACTGATTTTAGGTATGACACATGCTTCATTCAATCATTCAAAAATTACTTACTACATGCAAATTAACAATGCTGGGGATAAAGTAAGAGACAATGTCTCTGTCCTCTCAAAATTCACACTCTGGAAGATCTCAAGCATTGTTCAGGTGATTATCAACATGCTAAGTCATATGAAAGCAGACTGAAGTTGTCTGTCTGTGTATCCTAGACAAATAACTGAAGATGTGAACCAAAAAGTTCTATGACAGGACTATTCTTCATAGCATTATTCAGAACTGTTTTGTTTTGTTGGTGGTACTAGAAATCGAATCCAGGGTACTCTACCACTGAGCTATATCTCTGACTCTCTTATTTTCTATTTTGAGAGAGGGTCTCACTAAGTTGCCCAGCCAGAGCACAAACATATGATCCTCCTGCCTCAACCATCTTCACTGCTGGAATTATAGGTGCACATTAACATGTGACTTCAGAACAGTTTTATCACTTGAAATTAGCAAAATAAACAATTGGATAGTTTCAACACATTATGCTTTATGTACTATAATATTTATACCTATTAAGATTCATACTTTAAAAATGTCCCTTGATAAAGAACATATAAACTGTAGTTAAAAGAAAAAAACAAACTTCCAAATAACTTGTACAACATGATATAATTTCTATAAATATGAGAATTTATGTATTTATGTATATGTACAATGTATGTGCACACATAATGTGAATGTATATGTAATATATACATATAAGGACTCATAATGAAATCATAACACGAACTTTGTGTTGCATGGTGGGATATTAATTATTGGGGTTTATTTTATTTATAAGTTTTTAAGGGGTTTTCAAAATTTCTGCCTCTGCAATTAGAAGTTTATGCTTTACTTCTGAAAACTTTTCAAGCTATTACCCAGCATACCATAGTGGTTGTACTAAAAACAGTGCCTAAGAGTGCCAGAACTGGCCTTTTATGGTTCATTGAGGACAAGAAAGGAAGAGGAGCCAATTCATCCTGAGGGAAATTGGTACAGAATGATGGTTTGAAAGACAGACTGTATAAAGGATTCAGAGCAAGAAATAAATAAATTGTAGTTAGAGGTAAAAATATAGATTAAGAAAACAAGAAAGTTATTTCAAAGTCAATTAAAATTTCTTTACCTGAGAATGTGTCTCATTTTCTTGTAATTGTGTTTTCAGTATCTCACATTCCCTGTTTAGCTTCTCTGTTATTTTCTTAAAGGCATTCTTATGGGTTGATAACACTGTTTTCTCCTGATGCAGTTTCTGAAGACCCAAACAGAAGTAAACAGCAGTTACAGCAAGTGTGTGATAAGCCAATACAAATCACATTTGTGTTAAATAATTTCACTGATTGTACTCTGATAATTATACCACAGCATAATTCTTCTAAGACTGTAAAAATATTCTCGGAGGTACATTAAAAGCTATGTGGATATCAACTGTATTAATAATGATACTTCCATGTCTGTCCATATCCCACAAAGTTTACTCTAAATTAATGCAAATGGCAATAAAGACACAAGTTTTCAGTACAGAAATATATCAAATCTACATTTAACAGAGTTCATATTTAAGATACTGTGCATTAAGTAGTAGCTTATACTTTTTTCAATTTTTGCTTTTTAATATTTCAAGTCACTGTAAATTCTAATTACATATGTAAAAATTAATTATGCATCAATCAGCTAAAAGTAGTAAGTATTATGAACTACAGATAAAAATAATCAATAAAAAAATTTGCGTTACAACTTTGTAGGACTGTGTTGGCATTTACCTTTCTCTTTTCTTCACCTGATAATTTTAAAGCTGGCAAATCATTATATGTCTCCAGATCTGTTGTCATTTGCTTAATTTTGCTTTTTAGAGAATGTTGTTCCTCTATCATCTTACTTTCCAGGAGCTCCATTTTCTGTAGATCCAACTGTAGACGTTGACTGTCTGAAAAATAGGAATTTAAGGCCAAAATTTTACTTCTTTCACATAAGAAAGTGCAATTAAAAATCATGTTTTTCAAAAGTATCTGTAAGAGAAATATTGTGACCAATAAAACACTATAAAGATAAATTAGGAAAAGAAATTTTATCTCCTTATTAACCAGTCTAACCTGATACATATTAGCCATGCCTGACTTCATGCTCATACAAACATAAACACATACTTGAGCTTTTTGTTATACTTGACAACATTACTTATATTATAATTGCATACATTGTACATTCAAGCTGTAATATTTGCAATATTTATGTTCTATAAAGTCACCATAAATAATGAGTCAGCAAACCCTCCTATTGCTCCTCAGGGGAATACAGCCTCTGGTCACAACAATTTTGTCAGCTGTTCAAAACACAATCCTGTCTTACGTGTGTTTCTGTTTAGAAACATTTTTCACTGATCCATTGGTATTTAACATGGCCATGAACACTAGGACTTATATGTGGAATGAAGTTATCCCGTGCACATTTCTTCCACACAGCATGTGACAGTCTTCTTGACCTCAGAACCCTAGACATCTGTCAGCAACTCACTTTAGGGCCATTTTAAATAAGAATTGAAATAAGAAGACAAACTTGCCTTTTTCAACCTCTTCTGGGAACTGTGTGTGTCAGGCTGTTCAAATTTTTCACCACTTTGCATACACCTATGAATCGCCATGAACAAGCTGTAAGTATTGATTTCAGTTACAAATTAATTTCAGTGAACAGGAAAGTTCACAAATAGGACCAATGAACAATGAGGACTGACTATGCACATATGCATGTATTTCTCATTCTTTCACTCAAAAGTGTGTGCCACTCGGTGAGGACATGACAGAGGTCAGCACAAACACTGTTTTCACTCAAGAAGCTGTATCTCAGAGATAGCACCCGGCAACTGAGTAACCATTCACAATAAACTGGATGACTATGGGAAAAGCTGACCAGTGTATCCGAAGAGCACATGGCAGGGATGAAGAAAAGCTTTCTAAGGACAGAGATTTAAGGATTAGGAGCCAACCAAGACGGAAAAAATGCAGAGAAAACAGTCAAAGTATATAAAGTGCAAAGCTAACAAAGCACAGTACCTGGGACCAAATAACAGAAACTTGGCATGGTGAATATTAATAACATCCAATGTTCATATTGAAATGGAAATGAGTAACAAATGAATAACAATGTTAAAAAGTCACTGATTTAACAAGTGGTGTCTGTATAACCAAATCTTTGAAAGTTGGTATAATTACTCTTTGAACGTTTCCTTTATCCCTTAAGCTTTTTAAAAAACCACACTGACATTTTATATACAAATATATATAACATCATAATAAAGGATACATTGCTAAGACTGATAGGATAAGTATTTCAAAACAAGGGGAAATATTTTGAAGAGATTAGTGGCAATGTGTCTTTCACTATAATATATTTAACTTCCATCATGTGTTGATCACACAAAGACCACGTGTATCAGTGCTGCAGGATTTTATTTTGTTGAACTCATTCATATCTCTAGGGTTGGAAACAGTTACATTACTATAGTGTTGAATAAGTCACTATGGTTTATGATGTTTTAATGCTCTAACTAGAAAATATGCTTAGCTTATAGATATTTTGATTGCCTGAAATAAAGCTATAGAACTAAATGCAAATTTAATTTGAGTATATACTAAGAAAATACATTTAAGATCTATTCAAACTGATTTTTCTAGGAAAAAGGAGTAAATGGCTTGATATAGGGTAAGGTTTATCTATCTCTAACAACAGATCCCCTTGAAAAGCTAAAAGCTTCTCCAAGAGAAGAGACAGGAAGAGGATGCAGTCTAGTTCCTTCTGATATGCTATGAAGTTGCAAAGTTTACCAAGCAATGTGTACATAGTAGCAAAATCTCAGAAGGAACCACTTTGACCCAGGGAAATGTTTCTGAAATATTGTGCCATCAGCACATCTGTTTACTCTCTGAAGTTTCCTTTCCAAAAATATAAACAAAAACTACTGCTAAACGATTGTTTGCCTCTTTACTATGCCGTGCACCAATGTTTCTCCAATCTTTTTTTTTTTCATTAATTCCCTAAGAATCCTTTCATAAGCTTTTTAACTAATTGCTTCACTTCCCTGAAATTTTTATAGCATAGATGACAGTGTATCTCTTTTCAGTACAGTGACCCTTTGGAAGGCTACATTATCTCAAGAATTTTTTTTTTCACCTTCCAGCCAAGAAGCAACATTGCCCCTTGGCAACTCACAGAAAGGAAACAAAAAATATATTTTCCCTCTAAACAAAAATGTTGTAAGCCTCTTATGAATACATTCAGATATAAAAACTTTGTTAAAGTGGGAGATGATGTACGGAGAGGAAAATAATGTATATGCTCGATTCAAATTTACAAAAACTTATTTATAAAATAACAGTCACACAATTCAACTTTTAGTAAGGAAAAATTGCAGCACAATCTTTATCACAGAATTCCATTTCATCTCCATTTTCATCTCCATTAAGTTTTCATTATTTTTCAATTCGACATCTTTAGCAAAAATATAATGACTAGTTTTTTAAAGGAAATGTAAACACAAAGTATAAAAGCAAGAAAGAGACACACTTTGTTTACTGTGTTAGTATCTGCCTTTAGAAAATGTCTGTTTTTGTTTTTTTTGTGGTTTTTTTTTTTTTTTTTTTTTTTTTTTTTGGTCTTTGGGAGACAGGGTCTCTCTATGCAGTTCAGGCTGGCCTTGAGCTCACTTTGTAGCCCAGGCTGGTCTTGAACTCGCAGCGATCCTCCTGCCTCAGCCTCCCAAGTGCTGGGATTACAGGCATGAGCCACTACACCCAGCTTCTGTTTTTTTAATAGAGAAAAAAATGTCAATAAAATAGGGTTCCAAAACAGGCTAATAGGAGAGTAACAATAATCAATGCTTTGCCCATTGTTATTTTTATAATAGTTATTCAGAGTACAAGATACAAGCATGAAATATTGTCCCAACAATATTAGCACAAACTTTTCAGTGAACTTCTCAGAAACTACTTAATACTGTAACTAACTTCTGTATACATATATTTTTTTTTTCTTTTTCTGTTCATACTTTTCCCCTTTCTCCAGTCACAGTTTCTCTTTTCTTTTGAACAGTTTCTTTCCAATTCACAATATCTAGTTTACATTTTGGATTCTTATTTACAGTTTCTTGCACTTGTGAGACAATATGATGTTTATGGAGGTCTGATTGATTTCACTTATGAGCATGGTCTCAAGTTGCATACATACATTTACCTATTAAAGTCACGAGTTTATCCTTTATAGCTTAGTACTTCATGGTATTAAAAAAATCTTTTTTAAGTCACTTCTCAGTTGACAGGCATTTGGGTTATTTCCAAGGTTTAGCTATTACAAATTGTGCTACTATAAACATGGTATACATGTATCACAGTGGTATGATATTTTAAATTCTGGGAAGGGGAATATCTGGGTAAAACGGGACTCTAATCTTAGTTTTTTGAGGACTCTCCACACTGATTTCCACCATGGTTGCACCAGTCTATACTCCTACCAACAGTGGAGAAGGGTTCACTTTTCCCTACAGTTCCTGCTGCATTTGTTATTTGTTGATTTCTTGATGAAAGTCATTCTTTCTGAAGTGAGGTGGAATCTCAGTGTGGTTTTAACTTGCATTTCTCAAATAATCAATGATGGTGAGCATCTTTTCATGTATTGGTTTGCTATTTATATTTCTTCATCTGAGAAGTGCATATTCATCTCAGATGCCCATTTTTGTTCCACAGGGATAAACTTTCAATTTTACAAAATGAAAAAGTTCTACAGCTTGAAACTTGGTCTAGTCTGAACTAAAATATTGTAAGTACTTAATGTTGAATCTCAAACTTCTGGAAAAGGAAGAACAAATCAAACTGAAATCTCATATGAGAGAGACAATTATAAAGATCAGAGAGACAGTTTTGACACTTTGCAAATACAAAGAGCCCTCACCCAGAGGGAGACCAGCGAGGAGGAAGAAGCAGAGAGAGGGGAGTCGGAGGCAATGTGAGCCGCATGGGCAGAAAGCTCTCAAGAAAAGCACAACCAAAGTAAACCCAGCTATTTCTCTAACTACGAAGATGGAAAGATTCCAACTCTTATTTTATGCTCAAGCCGAGAATGACTCCACATGAAAGACACAAATCCATCTAACTGGGCATTTACCTTCTCAAAAATAAAAGGTTCAGAGTTTTCAAAAATGGTGGCTTGCTAGGGGATTGGGCGGAGAGTCTCTGCAAAGAAATCATATTAGATGCTAGAATATGACAACATGGAGAGGGCCAGATGAATGGATAATGATTCTTATTAACCAAGGCAGTAACCGAAGGGAAAAATAAAACTGGGAAAAGGAAGGAAAAGTGCAGATGGAGAGCTGAAGCCTGATGTACTCACTGAGTCCCATTCCACGCTGTACTAGGCGCAGTCGGGGGATTTAAGAACATTCTAAGACTGTGGCTGCCGATAATGGGAGTCTGCGAATCCTGCTCCCTTAACGCAGCACACTGACCAGTGGATCCAAGAAGAAAAGCTGTAATGGCTTTTGGCCACTGCTGAAAATTGAGACCTGGGACCCCGTGAAGCAGCCAGGGCTGCCTAGCTGCACTGGAGGAGACTGTGAGAAGCTCCGGAGCTCGGAAGCCAGACACCTTGCAGTTTTCTGACCAATCCATGCTGTGCCGGGAATGCAGTGAAGACACGCAGTGCAGTGTGCAGTGGACCCAAGAAAAAGATCTGCATTGAGTCCCGGTGAGTACTAGGGACTGGGTCCCCCGTGGCTGCTGTCCCTGGCTGGAGGACATCTTGGAATTTGGCAGAGCCCAGCACCATGGCAGCATCAGTGACACAGAGAGAACTGGTGAAGAACATCTTGAAATTGGGCAGAGCCCAGCACCCTCAGGGTGTCAGCAACACAGAGAGGACTGGTGGAGGACATCTTAG